GATCAGCTGCAGTTTCAGTGCCACATGTCCGGGACCTTTAAAGGACATCAGTGATCAATAACTGATTAAGCAAAGTTTTAACTGTTTGCTGGGAAAAGTTAGAAAAATAAAAGTTGTTTCATGTGACAGTTCTGTTGTTCTGGTTCGGTTCTGTGGGTCTGAATGGAACCAGCATGGAGTCAGTCAATAACTGCAGTGTTTGTCATCACACAGTAACACACAGTAACACACACAGACACACACAGTAACACACACACACACAGACACACAGTAACACACACAGACACACACAGTAACACACACAGACACAGCAGTGAATGTTCTGGCAGACTGCAGTGTTTTCTTGGCCGTTCACTCACTTTCTCCCTTTATGTGTGTGTCTGTGTGTGTTTTATTGTGCGTCTGTGTGTGTCTGTGTGTGTTTGTGCAGCAGTGCCTCCTCTGATTCCTCCCTGCAGGACAAATCGTCTCAGTTGAACTCGGAGCAGCTCAGCAACAAGACGGAAACTAAAACCAGCTTCAAGTAAGTGGGCCGTTGCACTGGGATGTCTGGTTACCGTGGTGACGACGCTGCGTGAATTAGGTTAGTTCTGTGTTTACTCGCTGACTGGTTTGACTGGAGTTTAACCAGTTTAACTGGTTTCAGGTTTCACAAAATAATTCAGATTGTGGAGCTTCTGGATTCTGTCTGGATCCTCCTGAAATCACTTCTGGATCTTTTGTGGATTATTTCTTTCATTTCTGGATTTAAAGAAAAAATATTGACGTTTATTTCTTTATTATATCACATTTTCTGGATATTTTCTTTGTCATTCCTGGATCAGATTTAGATCATGTCCAGATTAGGTTTAGATTATCTTTAGATTGTGTCTGGATCATTATCTTTTCCGGATTATTTGTTGTTTTTTTTTTAAATTTCTGGATCTTTTCTAATAATTTTGTAGAATAACTCTGAGGTAATATCTGGTTCCTTTATGGACTGTTTCTAGTTGATTATTTCTGAGCTGCTCGTGGATCAGCTTTGATTCTGGATCTCCTCTGGATGCGTCCCTGTTGTTTCTCAGTATGATGCTGACAGCTTCTGGACGGTTTCTTTATTTTTTCTGGATAACTTTTTAAATCCTTCTTCGGTAACACTTTTATCTTCCAGACCTGCTTCTTTATCGTCCCTGTCTTTGTTGTTTCCGGATCTTTTCTGGCTCATTCTGTTGTGCTTTGGATTATCGTTCCTGTAGTGTTCATCTGAATAAGCTTTTGATCATCTGTTTATCAGTCCTTGATCATTTCTGGTCCGTTTTGTTTCTGTAGGATGTTTTTTAAATCCCTCTGAACCGTGTTTTTAATCCAGGTCAGATGATTTTATTGTCTCTGGATCATTTCTCTCAGATTGTCTTCAGCTGATTGAAACCTGCTCTAGACTCCCAGGTTTTGTAGATTCTTCTCTCTGTTAGAACTTCTTGTCTCTCTTCACTAGAACAGCTTCAGGTTTTATCTGCTGCTTTAATCTTTTTCTCTCTTTCTTCTTCTGCCTCCAAACTCATCCTCGTCGTTCCTCCCTCAGCTCAGGGGAGGAAGACCAGATGTTCTGGTGAGTAAACGAAGCCTCTTCCTCCTTCCTCCTGTGTGTCTGTAGCCGTCGGCTGCACAAAGCGACTGCTTCTGACTTCACCTCCACATGAGGTCAGAAACACAGAATAATCCTGAGTGTCCGTCAGATCTGTTCAGTCCATCTAAACACGTTCTGCTGTTTGAATGGACTTTTCTGTTTCATATGAAACTCAGCCGACCGTTCTCCCCTCAGTTAGTGAAACAACAACATTTATTTCTCTGATTCAGAGTTTACCAGATTCCAAAGTCTCCTCGACATCATTCTGAAGATAAATCTGTTTCCTGCATCTTCCAGTGAGATACATGCAAAAACAACATCAGTGTGTTCCTTCAGATGTAGAACCTGTGAGGTGCTGCATCACTGCTCCAGGTTCTTCTGATGACGGTAAAGAAACGAGCCTCCGAGGTAGATCGGTGAATTCAGCTGTGTGAAGGACGAAGATAGTGAACAGAACTGAACCTCATTTGTCCTCTGAGGTGTTAAAGGACTGTTCATGATGGTTCACTTATTCTTTTATCATCACGTCTCGTTCCCTGTGGCCTGATGTCTGAATGACGCCACCTCCTTCTCATGTATTTCATCTGATGCACAAACTTTCAGAAAGACAAAGAACTCAGAGTCAAAGTTCTTCATACATTCCAGTGTCAGTGTTTCCTCTGACTGTTGCTGTTAACTGACTGCACAGCGTCCTCACACTGTGTGTGTGTGTGTGTGTCTGTGTGTGTGTGTGTGTGTCTGAGTTGTGAGTCTCCTGCTCACTGTGTGTGTTGTGTGTCTGCAGCCCTGATGACTGCAGTGTAAATCTGGACAAACCCGTCCTGAGGAAGTTTGAGTAAGTAGCAGGTGCAATGCATGCTGGGAGCTGCAGGAAGGAGGCCTCGCTGTGTGTGTGTGTGTGTGTGTGTGTGTGTGACATTTAAACTCATTACTATAATACAAAACAATATGATGTATGATCATATACTAGAAGGTGCTGCTGCGTGTGGCTCGTCGGCGCTGCAGCATCGTGATCAGAATCAGATTTCTCATTAATGAGACATGCTGGTGACAGAACAGCCTGTAGACCGTCAGCAGGTTCCCTTTAGTGTCTCTGGTTCTGGACAGTCAAACCCTCCAGAGCAGCTGTGTCGTCCTCTCTGCCTCCTGGTTCTGGTTCTGGTTCTGGTCTCTGTCCTCCTGCGGTTCACACCACAACAATAGAAACTCATAAAGGAGAATCTGAGCTGAGAGTTTTGGATTCAGCTGCAGCCACTAAACGCTGACATGAAGCCCACAGTGATTACAGAGCAGAACTGGACCAGAACCACCTCTGCAGCTACCACACAGCACCGTCCTGTTGGGTCCTCTGTCACGAGGAGACACAAACAGACACACAAACCCGTCCAGGCACCAACACAACTATCTTTAGCTGTTAATTGTTTAGATTTTTAAAATAACTTTTGTGTGAAGGAATAAAGATAGAGATGAGAAACAATGGAAGACCAGTGACAACGACACAACACAGACACACAACACAGACACACAACAGCTGTGTGTTGGTGTTGTGTGTCTCAGTCATCCAGAACTCTGCTTTTAAAGTCATAAATCTGGTTTGAGCATGTTGTAGTGCTGCACGTTCACAAGTGTGTGTGTGTGTGTGTGTGTGTGTGTGTTGCTGGTCGGGGTGCTGCAGGTCTTGAACAAACAATTTGGTTTAGTTTGGATCGCAGGGTGGAGTCTAATCGCTGGAGTTTGATCTGCCTGCAGCTGCTTTGGTTTTGTCTTGTATCAATGGGTGCAGTCTAATTACTGGTGTTTGGTTTTTGTGATGCTGGGTGCAGTCTAATTACTGGTGTTTGGTTTTTGTGATGCTGGGTGCAGTCTATTTGCTGGTGTTTGGTTTTTGTGATGCTGGGTGCAGTGTATTTGCTGGTGGAAGGTTTGGTTTGCAGTGAATAAGAAGAAAAGTGAGTCTGGCATCGGTCTGACTCCAGGCTGTTGATCAATGTTGTTTCTGATAATCGATCAGTGAAGCTTCAGGTAACTGAAAGTTCTCTCAACTCACCTGGTCTGGTTTGGCTCCGCCCCCCGCAGAGACACCTTCCTACGCAGCCTGGCGGCCACTCAGTGGGAGAAGAAGAAGAAGAACAAACAGCTGAGCCAGTCCCGGCCGTCCACCTCTGATGATGTCATAACTGCGAGCCCGCCGCCCACAGCAGAGGAGGGGGGCGGGGGTGCTGAGGAGGCGTCGCGTCGCGGTAAAAGCTCACATCAACACAAACAGTGTGTTATTTAAAGGAGCCGCCGAGCAGTTTGTTAAATGTGGATGTTTCAGTTTAGACGACAGAACGTCTGAGATGTTAGATTTAGAATTTATTGTCCCGGTGGAACCACGCTGTTCTCACATCGGTGGAACCACACTGTTCTCACATCAGTGGAACCACACTGTTCTCACATCGGTGTGGTTCCACTCTGTCCAGTCGCCTTGGCCTTCTGTGTTCCTTCAACTGTGCTACACTGCAGCTTCTTCTTCTGTGTTCAGGTTCATCATCCAGCAGTTTGGACACAAACGGACACTCAGACTCCCAGAATGAATCAGGTCAGAGACTACACTTACCCACAATGCCCTGCTCTGTGTCCGCCATGATGCTTTTCGTCACGCTAACGTGGCTCCTCGCTTCCTTCCGTCACATCCTGATGGTTCTGATTCTGATGGTTGACGTCATGTTGCATCAACGTAATGTTATTTTTAATTTAGACTTTAATTTCTGCTTCAGTTGATTTAAAACTAAATCCAGGTTGAGGAAACTTATCTGACTGCGGAGCATCTTCATTTTTAAGAACTTGTGTTTTATCAGTGTAGTAATTAAGTGCTTGATACACATAGACTTTAAATAGACTGTAAATCCTTTGTTTTCTGAGGAACACTCATCAGACTGGAGGTGTTCGTTCCTCCAATCGTTAAATAATTAGAAAAGCCTTTGATCCTGGAGGAGGAGCTGCTTCATCTGACTCTGACTGTTTAGTTTTTGTTGAACCCAAACATCCTTTTAAAATGCAGAGCTGAGAGTTTATTGGAGGATATTTCTGAATGATCCTGATTGGTTCTGGAAAAGTTGATGTTGAGCAGATGAGCTGGTCTGAACTAAAAGTCACTAACGTTGCCATCAGACCGCTATAATAATATTAATAACAGATCTTTGTGGTTGTTGTACAGACAGTTCAGGCCTCCTCTGAGCCCAACAGCAGCTCCTGAGTCAGAACTCAGACTGTGGACGTGAACCAGACGGTTTCTGTGACTGACCTGAATCATGCAGTAGATCATTATGTACATTTGATCTACAGTATTCTTATATATGTGTTTCTGGGTGCGTCTGAGCTCCACCTTGGTGTTCTCATTGGTCGAGGCAGAGCTCCTGTGCTGCAGCAGAAGGTGGATGCTGCCACCTACAGGCGGAGACAGGAGCTGCGTCCTGACGTGTCCGTGTTGTGTTGCAGTGTTTCCGATGCAGCGCCAGTGCAGCACGCTGTCCAACGACAGGAAGTTCCTGCTCGACATGCTTTACTCCAAACCGTCTGCGGCGGCGCCTCTGAGCCCGACGGCTGCTGCCGACACCACCGAAGAAGAAGGAGGCTTCCTGCCTGGTGAGAGAAACCGACTCCTGCCTCAGCTCAGCGTCCACCAGAAACCAGGTCTAACTTTGTCATTGGGAACTGATTTAAGGTTGACAATCGGCCACCAGAGGGAGGGTCGGGTTCTGGTTCTGGTGCTGGTTCAGGAAGTGGCAGCGCTGCCCAATAAAAACACTCCATTACCAGTAGAAGTGGTTTTGCTGTATGACTGAGCCGGACTCGTGCGCTGGCAGGTCGAGTTAGACACATCTGGACCTATTTTATGAAGTCCAGCTGCTGGTTCTGATGATCCAGGTTCACACATGGGGTTTGCCTGCTAAAAACACTTAAAGTTAACGAGAAAACGTCCTTCTGTCTCTTTGGTTCTGAGGAATCAGGCAGAGTGAGACCTTTGTTGGGGCCAACAGAGAACTGCATTGGTTCTGGTTCCGGATTCCCAGAACCAAACAGCTGTTAGAGAACTGATGGGTTTGGATCGCAGCACCAGATCCACAGTCTGGTGTCCAGCTTCCTCCAAGTCTTTAGGTTTATTTTCAGACACCAGACGGGTCGTCATCGTTCTCCAGCTTCTCACTGGACCCTCCAGGTTCTGCCTAAATGCCCCGTGCTGGTTCTGTCTGTGTTTCCGTCCGTTCAGGTGAAGATGTGGCCGGTCAAGGTCGTGTGTCGGAGCGTCTGTCCAGCTTCAGAGCGCGCTCAGTAGAGCCCAGCGGTCCCAGCGAGAGCAGCGCCTCCCGCAGAGCGGAGCTGGAAGGTCTGGAAGGTTCTGCTCAGGCGGCGCTGGCCCGACTGGCTGAAGAAAGGCAGGTCAGAGTCTAAAGGAAGAGTTTCTGCTCTTTTAGCTCCTGCAGATGATCCACAGGGATGAAAGAAGTCTGTTTGTTTAAACAAAGGGCAGTTTGTGTCGTACAGACTGTTTCTACTGAAAGGTTCAGCTTCAGGCAGTGAAGAGGTCCAGAACGGTCCTGGAAGACAAACGTCCAACAGTAGTTTGACCAGCATCAGTCTGGATCATCACTGCCTGATGGGTTTTTACTTCTGAGAAAGTCTTAAACACGTCTCAGTCACAAAAACTGCCTTAAAATAGGATTATTTTCCACTTTTACTGATTAAAGTCGGTCCTGATCATGACGACCAAACGTTGATTCGGCTTCAGGTTTTAAAACGTCCACTAGAGTTAACAACATATATGATAATAAACATCACACTTTACTAATTATCACTTCATTTATTGATATTTGTTCCAATAGAAGGAAATAAATCCGGATTTGTAATTTAAGAAAACATTGCGGATTTCTGGGTTTTACAGTGAACCAATGAAACGTAAGAGTACAAGTTTAATAAACAACAGCAGCTCCTATAGCCCTGTAATATTATTATTATTATTGTTGTTGTTGTTGTTGTTGTTGTTGTTGTTATTTACATAGTTATTGTTACTATCATTATGTTTGTTGTGTTTGTCGTCTTCACAGCAGCAGTTAATGAGATTTTCATATTTCTTTGTGAAATTGATGTAAAACTTATAATGTTCTTGGTTTAACGGTGGTACTGACCTGATAGCGTCTCTGTGCTCCATCAGAACCGGAGTCTCCGGCAGCAGAGCAGCATCGACGCCGAGGCCCAGGCCCGGCGCCTGGAGACGACCCAGATGGTTCCGCTGGGTGCCGGCGGTTCGAGTGACGCCTGGGACCAGCTGCAGCCGAGCGCTGCCGCGCTGCGCATCAAGGACCTGGACTTCTCGGACCTGCTGGACGAGGAGGACATCGATGTTCTGGACGTGGACTCCTTCGACTCCTCAGCCTCCCACCTCACCGGCCTCCCCCCACCGCCCCCG